CAGAGCAATACGCCCTCAGTCAGCGAGGACGACTCCGCTCTTCTGGACTTCCAGTGTAGTCTGCTGTAGGCCACGCCTGAAGCACTTGCAAGGTCCAAAAGACCTGGCTAGCGATAAACAAGTCTTGGTTGCATGTGAAGGTCTGAGAATCACATTTCTAATAAATACTTGAATTGACAGCTTTACTAATCCATCATTTTAAACAGAGAGCTGAGTATTTTGACAAGGCTTATGATAATACCTTGTGTCCCCACTAGCAAAGAATAGAGATACGTGTGAAGAACAGGCAATGTGATTTGCAGAAAGAAACATCTCAGTAAATGCCTAATTATATCATTTAAATTGTGTTTGCTGAGCCTCTGGGCTATACTCCACTGCTTGCATTTTGGTAAAATCTTGACATTACAGCTGCTTAAATCCATGCCAGAAGCAACACTGAATCTGTCAAACAAAGAGGGAGACTTCATTGTCCAAAATTAAAGATGCGTGAAGTCTCAGATAGTTTTTCACTTTCAGCTTTTCTACTTTGATGTTAAAGATCCTAAGCCCCAGTCATAGGATCACATCCTTTACAAGTGTGCTATGTACGATAGGTATCACTAGTACAGCATATCTTGGACATACGGATACAACAAAGGACCAACCTCCTTGTGACTTTCTCTCCAATTTAAGGGCTTTGGAGCAGGTCCTTCATCTCAAGCAAATCGGTGAAGACCTACCAGCCCAGGTCAGTATCTCTATTTCAACTAAATTGATTGAAAAAGTTTCTAGTACAATACGAGAAATTTTATCTGTATAATCAGCTAGATCTCCTTTGTAGTGCACCTCTCAGCTTAGTTTCTGGCTCTTTAATATGGTTACAGGAAGAAAAATCTCTTTTCATGGTTAGACTAATACTCCTGAAATATCTTCAAGTTGGAAATATTTTCCTGAAAAGAATCAGATGAGAGTGACTATTCTGCTTTCTTCTGGAGAATAACTTCATGGTTGGGAAAGTGATCAGGACAGGAGTGCCACAGGTGGCATAAAGAAAAGGAATTTTGCCCAGATCTCCATATAAAGCCTTTCCTCCTTCACTGTATTTATATGTAGATTAAGAAAATAGTAATAAATAAATAAATAAATAAATAAGATTTAAAAGAATAATAAAAAGAATAATATTTTTTTTCAGTCCTCTCACTAAAAGATCCCATCTCAGTCAAAGCAGTCAGTTCTTCTCAGTTTATCAGAACTAGAGTGAAAAGTAAATATTGCTGTATCCCTGAGACTTGTAATGGTTGGCCCTTGCTTCGGTGATTGTGAAAAAAAGAAATCACATATGCTTGGACACTAAAGATGCCTTGGAATATTTTTGACAGAAGAGATATGGTATTTGGGGGATTCAAACTAATTTCAACAGGGAAAACTACATTCTCTCTACCCAGAATTCCTTTGCAGTTGGAGAATAATGAAAAATCTCTGTGTTTCCCTCCCTGGTTTAGAGTTGCTGTGCACTGTTTGAACAGCTGCGCTTGTCCCATCCCTGAAGGTGGCTACAAGTCAGCAGAGAAGGAAGTGATCCAAGTATATATCATTCAAAAGTGACAGACTAGATGAGATATTGGTTTTCTCCACTGATAAATCCTTCTTTCTATTTGTGGAACTGAACATGCTGTCATGACCTAAGAGCTTCAGCGACTCATCATAGTGCTCGATGCATCTGTCATGTAACAGAAAGGTTTCTCTTCCTGTCCATGATCAGATTTCCTAACATATGAATCCCTTTATACTCCCTTTACCCAAAAGGCACGTCTTGTGGTGCACACTTCACTGCTCTGTGGCCGGGGAAACTTACAGTTTTCCCGCAGGTTCCTAGCTATAAAGAATTCCTGTTTCAAAGACGTTTGGCTGAATGTGTAAGAACTGCTGAAATCTGTGGTATAATTCCTGGTAAACAGTAAGTGGCCATGACAAGTGAATGCTCTTCCCTTATCATCTTGCTATATTTCAGTAAATACATGAAATACAGCCCCTGCTTAGAGGGATCACGGAGAAGAAAATCTGTATATTTGTAACTTATTTGTAACTTTTTTCCATGTTTAATAGCCTCAAAGGTGTAATATTCGAAGTCATTATTTATTGCTAAATTCCTCAGGTGATCCAAGAAAGCACAATTTCTTCCAAGACAGGGAAGTCTATTCAGTCTATCATCATGTTGCCACAAGACTGAAGTCCTGGTAATTCCCCGCGTAGCGAGCACACCCCCATGAGGAATACTCTTGCAGAGGAACCCTTAAAACACACCACCTACTTGCTCCAGGGGACCTCACTGATTGACGGTGAACACCTCCGTGGAGCTGCGTTTGATTAAATCTGTAATTGACATATGACAGTGAATTTAGACAAGTAAGAGTAATTACGCAGTCTCTAGCTTTGTTTGGGTCTGTGGTGGTGCCACCCACTTGGTCACAACCCTGCATGTGGACACTTGCCAGCCTCCCGTGCTGACTCCCAGCCCACTCCGCTCACCTGCATTGAGTTTTGCTCTGTTTCACTAGGACTCTCCCCAGGAGTTAACAGGTACAGTCTCCAGGTGGAATCACCTTTGTCTAAATTTAGTTGTGTAAAAGTTAGTTTTATGTGCTCTGCATCATCAGCTGTGTCAAAGAAAATACTCAGTGAGGTTATTCTTCCTGTTCAAAGGTAGACATCAAAGATGAAAGGAAAAGCTTCTTGCAGGTTCCTACTTTTCCATTAGCAGCTATAAAGGGTGCCCAGAGAAACAGAGAGACTTTTCTGATAAATTGTACATGTCTGAACTTAAGCGGGATGAGATTCATCATCTCTGTCCCTTAGTCCTTCATGGAAATGAATAAAATAATTCAACCACTTCCAGTCATTTTGGTCTTCCCTCTCGTGATCCTTCCTGATCGGCTCCAGGAGGCAATCACAGCCCTTCCCTCCCAGTCCTCCCACAGAAGTTCACATTTCAGAAACTAGCTTGCCTCAGGCAATAGCCATCTTTTCTTTTATTGCTCCTTCTTTTAAAGTCACAGAGGCTCAGCAATCCTCTGTGGTTAGTCCCAAGCTGTCACATGTTCCCTCCTCCTAGAAATCCAGCTCAAAATGGAGCTTAAAAAGTGGCAACGGCCACTCCCCATTCACATATATAAAGTGATGTTTGCAGTGCAGACAGAGTTTGTAGATTCCTAGATAATTTTTACTAGCTCAGGAAACAGAGGGAGCTGCACAGATTCCCAGAGGAAAGGTAAGCCAGAGGGAATGACATTGCACCACAGTGTTTGTTGTCTTCTGAAGGCAAAATAAAATATTGAATCTTATTTTTAATACATTCATTTGAAAACCTGGGGGAAAGTAATCTTTGTGTAAAATTGCTTTGGTCAGATATAAGTGAAATTCCCACAGGTATGATGAATATCCTTTCAGTTTTGAGAAACCGTGAATGTATCGGCCTCACAGGAAAATATATGTAGAGAAGGCTTTACCCTAGAAACTTATCAGAAGGTCACAAAAAAAAAAAAAAAGTAAAAATGTAAGATTTAAGATAAGAGTTGCAATGAGATAATAATACAAAAATACAATTTGTTTTACAGTATATTTCACATATATTCAAAGTCTATATTATCTACCAAGCTTTCCAAGACTTCAACGCCATCAGTAGTGCACCACAGAAACACATAATAGTTGGGTTGGAAGATCCCAACAGGGATCTGTCTCTTTGGAGATCATCTCGTCCAGCCCCCCTGCTCAAGTAGGGTCAACTAGAGCGGGTTGCCCAGGACTGTGTGCAGTCAGGTTTGAATATCTCTGAGGATGGAGACTCCACAACCTCTCTGGGCAATCTGTTCCAGTGTTCAATCACCCTCACAGTGAAGAAGTGTTTTCTTGTATCCAGCTTGAATTCCTTGTGTTTCAGTTTGTGCGCATTGCCTTTCGTCCTGTCACTGGACACCACTGAGAAGAGTCTGACTCCATCTTCTCTACACCCTCCCACTAGATACTGATAAACATTGATAAAGATCCCCCTGAGTCTTCTTTTCTCCAGACTGAACAGTCCCAGCCTCTCCTCATATGACAGACCATCTTAGTAGCGCTTTAATCATCTTAGTGGCCCTTTGCTGGACTTGCTCCAGTAGCTCCATATCTCTCTCGTACTGAGGAGCCCAGCACCAGATGCAGAACTTCAGGCGTGGTCTCACTAGATCTGAGTAGAGGGGAAGGATCTTTTGCCTCAACCTATTGGCAATGTTCTTCCTAATGCAGGCCAGGAAACCACTGGCTATGCCACAAGGGCACGTTGCTGGCCCCTGTTTAACTTGTCCACCAGTAACCCCAGGTCCTTTTGTGCAAAGCTGCTCTCCAGCTGGTCAGGCCCCGTCCTGTACTAGTGTGTGGGGTTATTTATCCCCAGGCGCAGGACTTTGCACTTCCTTGTTTTGAACTTCCTAAGGTTCCTGTCTACCCGTTTCTCCAGCCTGCCAAGGTCCCTCTGAATAGCAGCACAGTCCTCTGATGTATTAGCCATTCCTCCCAGTTTTGTTATCATTTGTGAACTTCCTGTGGGTGTGTTAGATCCCATCACCCAGGTCATTAATGAAGATATTAAACAGCACTGGACACAGTATCATCCTCTAGGAGACTCTGCTGGTGACTGACCTGAAGCTGGACTTCATGCCACTGATGACAACCGTCTAAGCCGATTTCAGTTTCAGTTTTACCACCAAGGTAAAGTCTTCCTTACTCCAGACTTCCCTCTGGTCTCAGGGGCTAGAGGTTTCAGAAACAGTTCAACAGTTTTCAGTTCACCTCACTGACCACTTATCCAGCCACTTCGTCAGGATGTTATGGAGGACAGTGTATGAAGCCTTGCTAAAGTCAAGGTAAACAACGTTCACTGCTCTCCCCTTATCCACTGAGACAGTTATCTCATCGTAGAAGGTTATCAGATTAGTTAAGCATGATTTCCCCTTGATAAATCCATGCTGAGTACTCCCAGTTACCTTCCCATCCTTCACGTATCTGGAAATCATATCCAGGATTAGTTGCTCCATTACCTTCCCGAGGATCAAGGTGAGGCTGATGGGCCTGTAGTTCCCCACATCCTCCTTATTGCCCTTCTTAAAGATAGGGTTAACATTTGCTGTCTTCCATTTGCCAGGAACCTCTCTCATTCTCCACAACCTTTCAAAGATTGTCAAGAGTGGCTTTGCAATGGCATCGGCCTCAGCACTTGCCAGTGCGTCCTGTCAGTGCCCGTGGATTTGTGTTTGTCCAGTTTGTTTAAGTGTTCCCTAGCCTGATCCTCCTCCACCAAGGTAAAGTCTTCCTTACTCCAGACTTCCCTCTGGTCTCAGGAGCTAGAGGTTTCTGAAGGCTGATCTAACCAGTAAAAACTGAGGCAAAGAAAGCAGTCAGTATCTCTGGCTTTTCAGTGTCCCTTGTCACCAGGGTCCCTGCCCATTTGGTAGTGGGCCCACATTTTCCCTAGCCTTCGTTTTGCTGCTTATGTACTTGTAGAAGCCTTTCTTGTTGCCTTTCATGTCTCTTGCCATTATTAACACCAGGTGGGTTGTGGCTTTCCGGACCCAATCCCTGCATGCTTGGACAGTGTCTCTATATTCCTCATAGATCGCTTGTCCATGCTTCCACCTCTCTTCCACATCTGCTGTTAAGAACTGCATGACAATACATCTATTATGGGCATTTCATCCCTGGCACAATAATTTCGGTATTGGATCTTAAATTACTGAAGGTTCTAAATCAAAACCCTGTATTCAGTCCTCACCCCTGTATTTCAAAACTGTTTAAAATTTGAACCTGGGTTCAGATTTGAAGTTTACCACTGTACCTCTGCGGTAGTCTTGCTACAGCTCCCATTGTAAATGGCACCAACACTTTGGAATAAATTGTGATTTAAATCAATAACTATGAGCAAAGCAAGGGGCGTTTCTCAAATGGCTAACACAGAACGGATACATTTTATATGTAGAGATAAATCCTTTTATCCTATTTTGCAATGTCATATTTATATAACAACTAAAAGGCTTTTTGCATCATAAAAGAAGGCTAAAAAGATAAAATTAACCAGAGTTGACCATAGCTGAAAAATAGGAAAGCCACTGGTGCAAGACAAAAAAGGAATTCTAGTTATTTTACATAACAGATGGCAGTATAACAAAAAGCAGCTGATATTTCTAGCCTAAGGGAATTTTCTCATGTTATGAGAAAAATGAAATTTAGCGTATACTGACCCCCCTCCATTAAATGACTTTCATAAAAAGAGTGTTTCATTTATACACGAGTGTATGGAAATAGATATATAGATGTATATGAAATTGCAGATAGTTGTGTACAGATCTGTATTTGGAGGACTGAGAGACTAAGAATTATGACAGAATTATATTTTCCTTACCTGCTGCGCAGTATTTGTTGCCTCTTTCTTTGGAGTACTTTGTTGCTCTGCCTTTCTACTTTACCAAAGTCAGCCCTTCCCTCCTCCTCTCCAGGACTCTCTGCATTTCCCTCTACATATTCATCTGGATTGCCATCTCCCTGTACTACCTCCCTGCTACAACTCTTTTTTTTTTCTGCCACTGAATTTCCCTCTCATGCTGAATCCTTCTACTCTCTTCTTAAAATTGTCTTCTGTGTTACTCTTCTGCCTGGAAATACACCCTACGCCAGCATGCAAGTCTTGCCGAGCATGCAGATCACACCAAGCCTGCTAAGGCAGACCCATCAAGCAGGAAACGTTCCACCTCGTTTCTCCAAGCTGCCTCTGCGTAGGTAGTGAAATTTCAGTGGGAACTGTTTTGTCTGCTGAGGTCAGAGGTACTTAATATATGGCCTTTGGTATATGTATATCTTTCCCGGGCAATTCATCCACTCTATGGTTCCTTCTCAGTGACCCTTTTTTCCATGAACGTTGGATGAAATATTCTTAGCAGTGGTACCCCACTGCCACTTGGCATCTTCCCCATTGGTCTGTGCCTCTGACCCCAAATGCACCCATCACACTAGACTTAAGGTTTATGACAGGGCTAAGACAAGCCACTAAGATAAGCTACTTGACTTGGTCCACCAGGGCGTCCTACGGGGCTAAGCACCATAAAAGCTCTGAATGAGATAGACGATGTACAAAGGAAAATAAGGTACAGTGAGGAAAACTGAAAAAGGATAGCGCAGAAAAGTGCTGCCTGGAGACTGAGGGACTCAAGTCATTTGTGGACACATGCATGTGAACACTTGCCCCTGTGAGCGAGGGGTTCATGGGCTGCCCTTTGGAGTATAAAGCTGCTGCTGCTGATCCTGTGCCATTGGATCCAGCACTGAACATACCTCAGGTATAATTGTTAGCATAGCAGGTAGCAACTATTTCTCCTGAGTACAACAGAGCACCAAATAGAGTAAAATGATTATTATTAACTAGATTCGTTATTCACTAAGAGGTATGTGGAGGAATTTTCCAAGCACTGGCTTAACTCCACTCCTGTTGACATCAATGGGCATTTTTTTTCCTATGGATAGAACTAGAAGAAAATCAAGGCCTATACTGAGAGCTCTGGAAAAAACCAGTCAAAGAAGGAAGCTTTGCCTTGCTGAAAACTATTTTTCTAGGACTTTCAAAAAAAGGACTAATTTTTAGTAGCCTAAAAAAGAAATAGATGGGATCAGAACCAAAATCTTGGTGCTAACGCCCCTAAATGGGTGTTCTTCAATCTAAACCCCAAGGAGCAGTCTGTTAAATGCCCTGCTTATAGCTGTTTTATTCCCAAGAGAGTTTTCAGCTGTGTGACTGTCTCTTGTCCCACATCTTACTCACTGCTGAGAAAAGGAGAGGACACAGGCAGCTGCTGAAGGTGACCATTTCCAGGTAGAAATGGTCTGCTGCCTTGATCCCTAGTGGCCGTGCTGCTCCCCTTCACCATTGCACCGTTACCCTGGCTGAAAACTGAAGTAGCAGGGCAGAAAATCTGACAAATATCCTGTAACGGTTTGTTTCCCATGGCTAATTTTTCCACTCTGCTTTTCTCCCCTCTCATTTTACCTTCTTACACTGTTATTTTATTACTTTGTTTTTCAGTTCAAATCGATCTTAATGGAAAACAGCCTAGAAACAATACTTTGCTTGGTTTTGAATGATATTTTTGTGTTTATCCTGGAAACTAGCAATACCACTAAAGCTTACTCATTCAGTAGCTTGTAAGCAGCAAAGTGAGCATACGTAGAGCTAGGGATTTTTAATTAGTTTAACTGAAATGTTCAGCATGGAGCAAAGAGGCCTAAAACAACTTAATAATAATACACCATACTGGAACATACATTTGCAATGATCCTTTCTTCCTATCAGCTCCACAAAATCTTTCTCAAGAGAGCTTCCGTAACCAAGACCAGGAGGAGATCCAGGGAAGACCCAAGAGGTCCACTGAGGAGCAGCTAGGCCAAAGCCATTCTGTGCAAGATGCTCAGGTTGAATCTTAGCTCCCATGCTAACCTGGTACAAGATGATGGTCTTTGTGGTTATTGGTTTTGGTTTGGACTCGTCTTCAGGACAGAAATAGAAGGTAATAACATGGAAAACCTGTGTTATTATGAAGCCATAACAGCTAATATTGCCCAGTAGTTGAGATTTTAAGATAGCTGGATGAAAATGACATAGTTTTCGGGAAAGGAGGGAAAGAAGAGAGGAAAGAATGGATGGACAAATTTGTAAGGTCTCTTAAAAACATTTGTTTAAAAATGCTGAGGCTCAAATTCTGCTGTTAAGGTGCTAAGTTACCACTTGATGCACTGATTTACGGTGACGGGAGTTGGTGGGGAAAAGCCAGCATGAGAAGTGTTCAAGCAAGGCTTTGAGAGGACAGCTTTTTGGTGAAAGAGAAAGAGTGCAGCCCAGGTGGAGCAGTGGAGAATTTAGGCAAAGAAAAGACACAGCTGTGAAGGGAAAATTAAAACAAGGAGTGTATCCATACATGACCGGCTCTGTGAGTGTATGCATGTTCACTGTGGTAGTGGTCCTGGGCTCCTCTGCCAGGCCAAGAGAGGTCCATGTCCAAAGTTTAGGTGGTCCATGTCCCCTTTAGGTGGAGTGTCACTTTCATGCACATAGCACTTGACTTGTACCTTCTCTGGGCACCTGCAGACCTAGTCTCTAATTTTTATTGTGTGTATGTGTATTTTTTTTCAGTTCAGAGTGACTCATGTAATGCAAAGGCTGCACTGAAGCCCAGCAGAGAGGTATTTCTATAGGACGAAACTGGGGCGATGTGTTCATGTCCTGTGGGGTGGTACAAGGCCATGTGGCAGTGCCAGGGGTGCAAAGCCAGCTGAAATAGCATTGGCCTGTGCAGGACGAAGGAATCAACCTCTCTGGTGTTGCTCATGGGGTGCATTGCTCCAAGGCACCCTTCACCCTAAACAATTGCCCGGTTTAGTCTCAGTGAGGCAGCTGGAGGACTCCTGAGCAGCGCCCATGCATGAGTGAACCATTACCCTATGTCAGTGATTGGAGGAGCTGCTCCCAGGTTTGCTCCAGGTGCTACTTATTTAGCAGGGCAGTGGTTTCTAGTGGGACTGCTCCATGCTCATTGCAGAAAATCTCAAGCTCCTCCAGCACAGCAGCTGTCACCTGTGCACAGCTTGAGGCACATGGGATAAACAAGGGAGAGCTTAACTCTGTAATGTAAAACTCTGCTTGATGCACACGAAGGAGACAGGGCCAGCTTGCTCACGTTTCACCAGAATCCGTAGTTTCATGCAACAGTATGTGGAGTGAGGGGCAAAATATAAGTAAGGGAACGTAAAGCAAAAAAACCCAAACATATAACTTTAATATAGTTAAGACTGTCTTGTGTCATCACAATGGTACTAGACAGTTACGTTCATAAAATCACAAGTGTCACAACAAGTTCAGGAGAGAATTAAAATTTTAATATCCCCTGAAACATTGTCCAGCCACCCTGCTGCTTCGCCCCCAGACTCTTCTAACCCACATATGCCGATGTGGGCCATGACTCACTCTGTGTCTATACAAATAGATTAAACCATTTATCTTTAATTAGGTTTATTAGACTAGTAAATCCCCAGGACCTCCCCACAAGGCCAAAAGCATGGAATAGCCCACATCCATATTATTAACCTCTGTTAGCTATTAAACAGGGTGCCACAACCA